GAATTGATGATATGAATGGAGCCTAAAACTCCGCTCTCATTAACGTCTGCAGCTTATCCTGGTGTCACTCCTAAGCTGGTGGGACTCGGTGACACTGCAGGGGAAGGCTGTCATTTCAACCCAATTTTCACATCACATTTGCACAAAAATTTTCCAGGCCTCGCCAGCGCTTTCGGCACATTTGTCAAATAGCAGGCGCTGTCCCGGCAAGCGAAGGCTTTGCCTGGCACAGGAGAAATGACTGCGGGTGGTGATGGGGGACCCCATCATGGCTGTGGTGGTTGCCTGTGGGTCTGAACAACCTCTCCTTGTCCCAGAAAACAGGCAGCAGAGGTGTCACCGGGCCAGATCCAGGCAGTTCAATGCATTTCTATGGTTGGGGTTTATTGCAGGATCCAAGCTTGCAGCCCCTGGTGCATTGGTCTGCACCTTGCCCGGGGAGCCCTGCTCCCCATCACGCTGGCTGTGCTTTCAGGGGGTCCCACCCCATTCCCAGTGATGGCAGGACAGCAACACGTGTCCTTGGAGCTGTTGCTTTGCTGGAGCACTGGCACTGCCTGGGGAGGGCTGGAGGAGGCGGTCAGGGAAGGAGCTGGAGAGGAGAGAGCAGGATGCAGGGAAGGAGGAGAGGGGGAACAGCGGGAAGCAGCAGGGCACCGAGGGCAGAAATACATATTGATCCCTCTGGAGGAGTGTTGGTTGCCTGTGGGTCTGAACAACCTCTCCTTGTCCCAGAAAACAGGCAGCAGAGGTGTCACCGGGCCAGATCCAGGCAGTTCAATGCATTTCTATGGTTGGGGTTTATTGCAGGATCCAAGCTTGCAGCCCCTGGTGCATTGGTCTGCACCTTGCCCGGGGAGCCCTGCTCCCCATCACGCTGGCTGTGCTTTCAGGGGGTCCCACCCCATTCCCAGTGATGGCAGGACAGCAACACGTGTCCTTGGAGCTGTTGCTTTGCTGGAGCACTGGCACTGCCTGGGGAGGGCTGGAGGAGGCGGTCAGGGAAGGAGCTGGAGAGGAGAGAGCAGGATGCAGGGAAGGAGGAGAGGGGGAACAGCGGGAAGCAGCAGGGCACCGAGGGCAGAAATACATATTGATCCCTCTGGAGGAGTGTGTGCCCCTGTAAAGCATCGCCAAACGTTGCCTGCCATACGCAGCTCAGTTGGCAGCGGTGCCCAGCTCCCCCTGGGGAAGGGACCACCATCCCTGGGGGTGGGCGATGCTGTGTCACGGTGGTGCCTGCTCTCTCCATCCCTGAGCCAAAGAGCACAGCGGGAGCTGTGTGCTGGCTGGGGCTCAGCAGAGCCAGCCCGGGCTGCCGATGGACCAAGCATCGTGCCTGCCATCCTCTTGGTTGCCGCTGCCCTCAAGCAACAGCTTCCCATTTAATTCACTCGCTGGTGAATTTGAGCCAAACTTCTGCAACCAAATCATAGCAAGTGTAATGCAATATCTTTCTCTCTTTTGATTGTATTAAGTTGGGTAGTGCTGGCTAATTGAATCTGGGGCTCTTGCCTCTTAATTACCAAAGGTCAGGCTCTCCTGAGCGCGGGCAGGTAGCACGGGGATCGCTCGTGGCCAGAGCAGGGGCTGAGGGCTCTTGCTCTGCGCAAAGGATCCTGTTTGTAACGAGTGAGCCACTTCTGGATATTCTCTTTTTTTTTTCTTTTCTTTGGTGCTTTTTATTTCATGAATTTTAAGAGTCAGGTTACAACAAAAGTCTTACCAGATATTTCGGTGTGGCAGAAATGTATTTTTCTAATTGGAAAGAATCAGTGAACGCTTTGGCTGTCTGCCTTTGATGGTAAAAATGTGGATTTTTAAGAATAAGCTGGGGCGAGCAGGTGACCCTGAAAACCGGCGACTCTTTCTCTAATGCCCATGGGATGGAGCGGAGGGGGTGATTACTGGCCGCGTGCATGTGGACCCCATTATTTATTGGTTTTTAAACATCAGCCCTGTGCTCCCCACCTGCTCGGTGTGAGGAAGGGGCAGGACTCCCCACGGCCAGCTCCCCTCCCGGTGAGTATTTATCTCATGCAAGGTGGGCTGCGGGCTCAGATCAGCACCGGGGCGAGCAGTGGTGGTGGCAGTGCCACCGCTGCCCTTCGCCTGGAGCATTTGCCACCTCCTCCTCCTCCTCACCTTAGTTGCTGGCCAAGGGCCAGCACTGTCTCTGGTGCTTCCCAAAGCCCCCTCTGCCCCTTCGCAGCCCGCGCAGCAGCAAGCGGCATTCAATAAAGCACCTTCTGCTTTTGCTAATTGAAGAGTTTCCCTTTGTCAGCCTCTCAGCTCAAAGGAGGGTCGGTACAAAGCCGTAGCCGTCAGCACTTTGTGTGCCTCTGAAAATCCCATTAGCAGAAGAAAGAGCTTGAAGTTTCATTCAGCTGGAAAAAAAAAAAAAAGGCAAAAAAATAAAATACCCCCCCCCCCCCAAACCTTCTGATCTATCAGCTGCACATTAACATACCGCCCTCGGCACCGCCGGGTCCCCGTCCTGGGAATATTTAATCAGGGTGAAGTGTTATATTGGACTGAAATGTATTTGCTTGAGGGAGAGATATGCTGATAAGTGGGTCTGCGGTTAAAGCTGGGGAAAAAAACCTGCCATCAGCAAATAAAATCCCCTCACGCTCTCCAGGTCCTCCCCCCCTTCCCCAGGCTGTTCTTCTGCCCGTGAGGTGTTTGCTCCTGGAAGGGGAGTCAAGGTGGGAGGGCAGGGACCAGCCCTGGGCTGGGGGCAGACAGAGCTGGGGGGGATGGGGTGGGGCGGTGTTTGCCATCCCCTTGCTGGGGCGGGAAGCATGAGGGGGCTGTGCCTGCACCCAGATGGGGGGTGCTGGGCTCTGGGCAGGGGGTGTTTGGGCAGGAGGGAGCTGCTGCCTGCCTGTCTGCACCCCGGGGGACCCTTTGGTGGGTACAGCTCTGGCCACTGGTCCCCACATCTCCCTCCTGGCTGCATCTTGTGCCCTGTGTGCAGCAGGTTGTGGTGTCCTGGGGGGCTGTGGTCTCCTGGCTTACCCTCCGCTTGCAATCAGTTACTGTATGCTAACAAGTGTTGAGGGGCACCCATGGCTTTGCCATCTCTGGCGTGCCTGAGGAGGGTGGGGAGGGTGCCCTCCCTGCTATCCCATCCTGTTCCTCCCATTTCAGCCACCGCTCAGCCCTTTGTGCTGGGCATGGGGCTGCGGTGAGCCTGGACCAGCTCAGCTGCCCTGGCTGGGCTTAGGGCGGCTCTAGGTCTTGGAGAGGGAGGAGGTGAGATGGGAAGTGGCTTCAGGCAGATGCACATCATGCGTGCGTGCCCACCTCTGCTTGCTGGGGAGCTCATGGTCCCCAGCCAGCATCCAAGCAGCTGCCTGCCATGGCAAAAGCATCACCCAGGTCCCGTGCCCAGCTGAGGTAGAGCCTGCGGAGGAGAGCCAGGCCCAGCACGGGGTCTTCTCTGCTGCCACGAAAGATTTGTACGAAGCGCTGCCTGTCTGGGGAAGCATCCATCTGCCTCTGCAGGTTTTGACCCGACCAAGC